CCATGGCAAGGCTGTGTTCCACCATCCCCAGCTAAATTCCAGCAGGCAAAAGATGGAGATGGGTATCACTTATCTAACTCATCTACCTAAATTACATCCCCATAAAAGTTGTCTCACAGAATTCTATGCTGGTTTGGTCATCACCTGGACTAAAAACTAATTTTTAGTTTTTAAAATGATCTTTCTTTTTCATAAAGGGCTGGCTCCATCAACCCTGGTCACAAAATGTGGTACAGAGTTGAATCTCCTTCTGAAGGACACCTAAACCAAAGTATCCTTTAGAGAGAATATCGTCTTTTAGTTTTGCTATCCCATTTTGCTCTAAATTGTTTATGTATGTTAGCATATGCCTCTGAACCAAAAACTTTAAAATATTCAAAATGATGCTTCCTTCCACTCTCCAAATTTCAAAAGGAGATAAATTATAATCTTTAGTAATGGTTAAGAATATAAAAAGCTATGTTGACAGTCTCTGCCCAAAGTTTCTTATTTAGTGCTGAGTCATGCAGCATGGAGCGACTTAACCCTGAAATTGTTCTGAGGTCTCTCTCAGCGATACCATTTTGTTCAGGAGTATAAATGTTTTTAATATTCAGAGAAATATTTGTTTACATATTCTGTTCCATTATCTGTTCTAAGTATTTTAATAGATCTGCCAAATTGATTTCGAACTAGGCCATCAAGTTTTTTAAAGTGATTAAAGACATCACATTTATGTTTCAAAAAGTAAACAAATCTGTATCGTTACAATCACCCTTAAAAAGTAGAAAGTAATTAGTCTCCTATTGACTCACAGTCCATAGCTCTGAGTGAATCAGTTCACCTACCTCATATTGACCTTCAATTGATGTTTCCCGTACTCACAAGCCTCACAAAAGAAGTCGGGTTCGCCAGTCAACTTGAGGTCACCCAGTTGTCCTTCTTTGGCCATCTTCCGAATCATATCCACTTTAAGATGTCCCACCCAGCTTGTGATGCCATGTAGTGAGTGAGTCGACTTGGGCAACATTGGAGGAAGCTTTATGTCTTACTTTGAAAAACATGGTGTACAGATTATTAAGGCCTTTGATATCCTTTCTTGTCACCTTTAAAAATGTCGCACTTTTCTTTGCCAGTTGATATCTTGTTTCCTAGATTAGTTGCTGCTTCACCGGAAAAAAAAGGACTTTTACCGATTTCAGGAACATATAAAACATTTGTTAGATGTTCTTGTGTCCATTCACCATCAACGTAGCAGAAGATTAGAACTGTTCCTCTTCCGTAGGCATTGATCACATGATCATCTCCAACTTTAACTTTGTATTCACCATCGAGTTCTGTGAATTCAGAGAACCATTACATTGGCTTGTAATGTGTTCTGAAGCACCGCTATCTAAATACCATACATCTTTGATTGAAGATAGAAGATCCTTTTCACAAATGAAAGGGCTACTTCCACTGTTTTTACATGCTTGTGATCTATTAACTTGATCATTCACTCTATTTTCAGGATGAAAGAGGTAAGACCTTAATTTCTTTGTTTTTCTTGGAAGCAATCTCGACATTCAGCCCAAAAATGTCCTGGTCTTTTACAGTAGTTGCAGGTTCCTTTATTCTGATTGAATTTAGCTGAAGCCTTGAAAGCTGTGACACCATCTTATCTCAAATATCTAATCGCATTTCCTCCTGTAAAAGTCATTCCAGTAGATTCTCCTTTGTTTGTTCTGTCCTTGTGACAGAGTCCCACGATGTCAGGAAGTTTGAATATTTTGATGGTAAGGAGCCGAGAAGTTTTTCCAATGCTGATGCACTTACATATTAACAGAGTTCCTTTAATTGTTTCATAAGTCCTTCCACTTTTGAAATATGTTTTGACATATTATCATTGTCAGCCTTCCTATAAAACTGTTGCCGAAGTGACAACAAACTTGTTGATCTTTGCTCATAAATGGACATAAGCCTTGTCCATTGACTTTGTGCGGAATCACAATTTATTAAGTGTTCTAGCTATTTGAATTCCAGAGCAGTAGAAATTATAACCATGGCCTTGTTATTTTTATTTTTCCAATCAGAAAGTTCTGAATAATTTTCTGGCTTAGTTTCGTTGCCTTCAACAATTTCTAATAATCCTTGTTATCTCAGAATTAATTCAAGTTGATATTTCCACACTTGATAATTACTTCCATCAAATTTGTTGATAGAATATTCAACTCTTTCTGCCATCTTTACAATGCTGTGATATCTTCCTTTTCAATTCCTTTTATTTTATGAAACACATAGAAATTCTTAGGCCTACCGCGAGCTTGAATAAAGTATCGTCGTTAGAAAGAATCATCTTATTTTTCTTTCTTCTTAAGCAAAATATGATGCAGTGGAAGAGTGCTGGGCCCATAACCTTTTGGATATTTTAAAATAATCATGCAGTGATTATTTAACAGCAAATTATTTAATATGAAGAAAGAAAGGTACAAAAAGGAGAATTATGGACAGCAAACAAAGAAGAGCTGACTGACTGTTAGGTTAAACTTAATGTGGCTTCTCCTTGTGGTGGTGTCGTTACATTTCCAACTTCCACTGGAGCAAGCCTGTGGTGGCAGCAAGAACTAGTAGCCTCTAGCTGCACATCCCAGTCCATTATCACTTTCATCTTTGCAACACATAGGAATCTCCATCTCTTTTAAACTACTGGAGAAAACATAAATATAAAGTAAATGGTGTAGGTTTTCTCTTCTTTTTCTTTCTTATCTCCACTCAATCATATTAGGGTATCAAGTTGTGACCCTTGATGGTGTCTGTTTGACAACCATCATGACTGGGTGAAATAGAATACGTCTGCCTTTGTCATTAAGACTGGGAGTACTACTCAGTGCCAGGCCGACTTAGCTCCAAAAGAGGAACAGACGCCATGTGCAGCCGCTCCTAACATGGAGTACACACTCATCCTGTATCCCTGGATTAGGAGCCCTTACAGGTTACTATCAGCCGGGCCAGCTGAGCCCAGGTTTTTTACTGAGCTTGTTACTGCTCCTTCTTCTCCTTTTTCATCCGGGCTTGGAACCGGTAAAGGCAGAGTTTAGTTTTTACTTCTTTTATACAGTAAAACCCTACTAATATGATTTGGGGATATAACAAACCTTCCCTTATAGCAAACTTATAATACCCATCATTTTAATGTTATAAACTGGTGAACCATGGCTATAGTGAAGTTCAGTCCCCATGGGGTTCACTATAGTAAGACCTTACTGACAATTTTTCTAACAAAGAACCCTAGTAAAATTATAATCCCCTTGTTTCTTAGCTCTTAGGTTGTAGAATTTTGTTTTAAATTTAGTTTTTAGAATCCCACATATACAGCATAAGTTTTTGATGAGGTACAATTTGGATTATAGATAAAATTCATAAGAGACCAAATCCAAATTATTAAATTATTGGATATTTGGTCTTTTCATATAATGATTAGTATCAGATATAAGGCACATCCTGGAATTTGCCATACTTGTGACAGGATGAAATGTTGTTTTGAATGACACATGAGGGCACTAAATGACGATGATTCCCACCCCTCTTTTTTGCTTTGTCTCCCATACTGGATATTTCCATGCAAGTTGGGAAAATATAGCCTTATATAGTTTCAATTAATAATATATTTTTCCTCAATTTGAATTTTAAAAACTCTTTATCCCAAGTACATCTCATACAGGCCATGATAATCATGGTGGATAGATAATGGCTGGCTTTTACCCTAAGTGCACCACATGTAGAAAGCAGTTAGACTTTTGCACTTACAATGTGCTGCTGGAACCCCATTTGGTTACTTGCACTAACTGGGCCTGGGCAACAGGCCATTGAAGTGCTCCATATGGTCATGGTTGTTGAAAATGTGTACCTGTTCCTCCACTTTGTGAGATTGAATGTATATTAAATATATTGGTTAATTAGTGCTAATGATGTTCTTGAGGCCAAATTATTTATTCAATTAGTGCTAATTGATATGGCAGCATAAATATTTCAAGTTAACAAGACTAATTAAGTAAACCATTTCACCACCTATGTGGGAGAATATAGCAGTTCAAATATAACATCAGAGGAACATGTACAGAATATCAAAGACAACTAACATATATCAAGCCACTACCAGAACATCTATACCAGAGTCCTTCACAAATGTGATAGTATCAACTGGAGAATACATCTACCCCATCAGTTTCAGCACATTCATCGCAAGAATCATTAACAGAAGGTACCTATTCCCAGAGAGTTCTGGTCTCCTAAATTAGGCACAATCCTTTTTTCTTCCCCCTTTTATCTTAATTATCCCAAGGTACCATCTTTATAGTCCCTACTTGAGATTCCCTCACAATTGGCCAGATCAACCAGTTGAAGAACATGTGCTCTAAGCTTGCCCTCTCTCCACTTTATCAAAGAACCTACATCATATCATTTTTTCAATTTTATTTACATCTTTTATTTAACCTTCTTCATTTCTAAATAGCTACTATTTATTTGAATTTGGTGTTAGTACCTTGTGTTTTCAATGTAACAGCATAAAGTTGGATGGATGTTTCAGCTCTATGGGAGTGAAAGACACAAGCAGGGGGTGTCCCAGGCCAACCAGTTTTTCTGCAAGCTACCTCGCAGACTGGCTTTTAAACTTTCTGATATGGTCAGCGAGTCCATCCTGCAGTCCGGGTAAGTCCCCTTGTTCTTCAATGCAAGAATATCCACTAAACTACTACTCTTTATAATGACCAAGCCAGGTTAACAACCTTTTTTTAAAACTACCAAATCTTTTTTTTTGCTTATCCCTAGTACACGTGGTACAGGCCATGATTATCATGGTGGGTAGTTAGCGACTGCTTTTACTGTAAGCGCACCACATGTCTACACATGTGAAAAGCAGTTCGACTTTGCACTTACAAATGCCAGAGCCCCATTTGGTTACTTGCACTCGCTGGTGGGGTTGGACTTTTGCAAGAATCGGGGTCCATTGGAGCATTTTTTTTTTTTTTAACAGAAAAAAGTGTCCAATGCGGGAATCGAACCCGGGTCCTAGTGGTCGAAAACCAAACGGTTTACCCAGCCTTAAAATCTTTGAACTAACCTCCTAAATGATGCCTCAAATCTAAACATTGGATATTGGTCTCAATGTTACAGCTTCCATTATAAGTAGTCTTCAATAACAACCAGCCTTCATGAGACTACCTTATAACTAACAGGCAGACTTTTAGGTGCCAATTTAAAGATGCAAGGAATTCTAAAAGAGGTGCACATTTTTTTTAGCTATTTAAATTTATTTGAAAAAAAGTTATTACGCATATATATAATTAAAACACACATTATAGTATATATATTTAAACCTAATATATAATTTTAAATATGATAATGCATATATACAGTAATTGAATTAAAGATCGCACAAATATAAAAGATATTCAACTAAAAAAAAAAGCACTATTCTAAATTATATTTTTACTCTCGCTATGTCCTGGAGTAAAAAGTTAGCCTTCTTTATGAGATGTTTATAGGAGGAAAACTCCCCACTTCTATATTGTGTCTTAGTTCAAGATAAGATTTGGCCAATAATCTAGTGAGATTCTTCTGAAAACTGGGTTTAATTTTATTTGTAAGGAGTTTATTTTTGATTAAAATCTTCCACCTTTCTTCTCTTTAAAACATTGATGATTCTAATTTTAGCATGCAAAAAGGTATACAAGATTACCTGAAATATTTCTACCTTCACTTCCTCATTGATCAAATATTTCCTTCCCTTAATGCTAATATGAGGAAAGTCCCTTTGATATTCTCACGTGAGGTATTCACACTTTAACCTAAATCAACACTTTCTGTTAAAAAGTATATCTTTATTTGTCAAATGATGATAGTTTTAGAAATATTTACACATTTTAAAACAAAAACATTGCATTAATTTATCTAAACTAAACGCATTGTATAGTACAGTATAACCATGTTAATTCGACACACGCAAATTCGACGCTCTACCTTAATTTGACCATATTCTGATGTCCCGACCTCCGGCCTATCAAATAACAAACCATAATTCGACAGTTCCGATAGTTCGACCATTTTAAAATTCTAATTTCGACAGTTGAATGTGTTTTTACATACAACTTTACCGCTAAAAAGGTATTAAGGCGGCGACGACAGCAGGCGCCGATAGAATCGCGCCTGCGCACTTTTGATTTCTGTTAGTTTAAGTTTCACTTTGTGGTGCCGTTGCGCAATGTCACGAGTGTTATTGTTTTTTTTTTACGCAGGAATTTAGGAATCACGCGCTAATTAATAATATTATTTTCTTTTTAAATTTCAGCATTGAAATATTTTAGTCATTTTAAAATTTACAAATAATTTCCTTTCAAATAAATAAATCTTCATAAAATGTAGCTACAATGATTATGATAACATTTTATTTCAATATTCCATTTCCATATTATCATTTTTTTTTTTTTTTGCTTATCCCTAGTACACGTGGTACAGGCCATGATAATCATGGTGGGTAGTTAGCGACTGCTTTTTACTGTAAGCGCACCACATGTCTACACATGTGAAAGCAGTTTGACTTTGCACTTACAAATGTGCCAGAGCCCCGTTTGGTTACTTGCACTCGCTGGTGGGGTTGGACTTTTGCAAGAATCGGGGGGCCATTGGAGCATTTTTTTTTTTTTTTTTTTAAACAGAAAAAAGTGTCCAATGCGGGGATCGAACCCGGGTCGTAGTGGTCGTAAACCAAACGGTTTAACCAGCCTTCCACCGACCCCCCCCATATTATCATAAAAGATTTAAACACAAAACCAATAACACCTGCAGCAGTAGTGGATGTCTTTAATATGTAGGATTGTTGCGTGATGTGTTGGTGTGGCTTGTGGAAAGGCTGCTGATAAAATTAAAATTAATTTATTTAAAGCCAGAAATATATAAAGAGAAAAGAAACAACGGTTGAAGTAACGGCCGTTGGAGCAAGCCTAGATGTTTACCGCTGAGTGGCCAGAGTCTCTGATGATGTCCCGCTCGCATGCGTAGTCAGGTTGACGCTCGTGGTTGCCGATGCCGTCCACTGCCCCCTGTGTGTAGTGGAGCTTTGTCAAAGTGTAGTCGCCACAAATACAATAGTTATTTAAAACACATTCCAGAGGAAGAAAAACATGCATGTTTTTTTTTTTAAATAGACCATCTGGAATATATCCTGAATAGGATTTCAGTGCAAAAACAGACATCTATAAAGGAATTTTAAAAAAGATCTTCATGATTATTTTAAAACTAGCCGAATGACCCGGGCAACGCCCGGGGTTTACTCGATTAAATGCTTTTATTCAAATACTATTCGTTACAATTATAAATTGGCGCCGTGGATGTCATTCTTGTATAATATATAAATGAGTTTTAAAAATTGTAAAAAAAAAAAAAAAAAAAATGCATCGGCCGGGAATCGAACCCGGGCAGGCGAGCATTCTACCACTGAACCACCGATGGTTATGAGAAATGGCCATATTTGGGTATTTATTCCATTCACAAAAGCAAACGGTGATGGAATTGATTAAGAAAGGGCAATGCCCGGGTTTTACCTGATTAAATGCTTTTATTCAAATACTATTCGTTACAATTATAAATTGGCGCCGTGGATGTCATTCTTGTGAAACGTCCTGCTCCAAACTTTGTGTCTGAGAAGCGATATTTTTATAAAGAGATGATCTGGCTTTGTGTCTTCTGCTCGAATGAATGTTTTTCTGTTAGAATTTTGTTCCTGCATACTAAAAATCAACTGGCTTCACCCGTGGTCTCTGCTTTTTGGAATTTTTCCTGATATAATTTTGTATCTGATAATTAAATAGGATACAGCAATATTGTCATCATCATTTTCTGAATAAAAAGCAACTACTTTTTTCCCAGAACCTGTCAATTTATTTATTTTTTACTAAAAATCCGAGAAATATCTTTTCCAGATTTTTCTCTATGTCCTGTTAAAACACGTTTTACATGTCCATTAGGTCAGCTGATATTACCTCCCATCTTCACCGCTAGAGGCGCTGCTTGCGAGCGAAAGGGCAAATTTGGCACGCAATTTGCAAATAACTTGTATACATACTTGTATACTTGTGTACATAGACCATAAATCTGTACATAGACAGGAAAAGCACATATATTTTAATAATATAAATGAGTTTTAAAAATTGTAAAAAAAAATGCATCGGCCGGGAATCGAACCCAGGGCGCCCGCGTGGCAGGCGAGCATTCTACCACTGAACCAAAAGCAAACGGTGACAGAATTAAGAAAGAATGCATGATGCTGATAACTGTATATATTAATATTATTTTAAAATTTTCTTTTTATTTTCCATATTTATTTCCTTTCAACTGCTATATTCTTCAATTAGAGTAAAATATTATTTTTAATTATTTTCTGTTTCAAAAATATGTAGTATTGCCATTTTGTCCCTGATACTAAAGTTAATCATGAAAATAAAAAATAATACAAAAAAAGACACACACAATGGTTTCAATTAATATGATAAATTTATATTACAAAGTAATTTTAAAAAATATTATTTTAGCGAGTTAGATGATTAGCTAATCATCTAACCTTAATTCAACACTTCCTTTAATTCAACCAAAAGCTCTGATCCCTTGGGGTGTTGAATTAAAGAGGTTCGACTGTGTATTTAAATAGACAATCTTTATTCAGAAGCCATTTTGACCCAATTAATAGAAAATAAAATTTTTAGGTGAGGACAAAATGCGATGCAGTTTTAGGAATATTGAAGCATACAGTTTCATAAAATGATGTTAGAAGTGCTACAACCAAATATCTGTCCTTTACTTACAGCACAAGTAACCTTGTTTATAGAAGAAAGGCTGCCTCTCTATTTAAAACAGACGCTGACTCTGGTGGTTGGTTGGTGGTCAGTGACAACATCAGCTTTGACAAATTTACAGCACCCATTCTGTCACACCAGGATGGGCTTTGATTTCATGAGATCCACAAGGAATCCATGAAATCTTCTAAATGTCCAACAAAGAAGTTTAACTGGCCAAGGCCATTTCTATGGCTGAAATATCATTTTAGTTGTAGCGCCTATTTTGACTGAGAAGAGGTAACCTTTCTTTTTGTTTCTATATCAATATCCTCCCTGAAAAGTTTTCCATTTAACCAGGTTTTAAATTGGCCAAGTGATGATGTATATTGTGAATTTTGATGGTAAAATGGCCTCAACAAAGAACATTGTTTTAGATCCTAGTTGCAGTCTTCAATGAGGCATTTTTAGTATTTAGTAACTTGTGGGAAAGAAGCAAGAACTAAAAACTACAGCCTCTTTTTAATCCTTATTTACTCGCGCCGAGCCTCCGAAGCTCATCTCAATTTTCAAAAATCTAAAATGAGAATTTTAAAAATGCAAAAAAAATGATAATTTTCATAGCTGTACTTATTCAGTAGATTGACATTTTAAACCATATTTGAACTTCAATGGCAGTAGGAGAGTGTGAAAAAAATATAAAGTTGTCGGCGTGCCTCAAAAGCGCGCTGCGAGTGCTGACGTAACACTTTTGGTTAAGGTTTCACCTTGCATCCTGGCCTCTCTCTCGTCACTGGCACGTTTTTGTGGAATCCTTTAAAACTTGTTTTTCAATTATTTATCCATATTTAATTTTTTAATTTATAATATATTGAATTTTTAATATATAGGTTTAATTTTAGAGCTCTTTTCTCTGAAAATGGCTAGTAAAATGGTGCTATATTTGCCCTTGCGCCAAGAACCGCATATCAACCATGACTTGCTGTAAATGCAATAAGAACATTTGCAAAAAAACATTCAAACCAAATTTGCCAAAATTGCCAGTGAATATTGGCGATTTATTAGATATAAAAGAATTTGCGCAAAGCCTGCGAAAATCTCTGCTTTTTCACATGTTTTTATATTTTTATGCATGACTTGGTAATTATGAAAATTAAATTTTAAACTTTGCTATCAATTTAATCCTTATTATCTATCTACTAAAGTAAAATACAATTTTTATTTTTTTGAAAGATAATTTTATCATCATAAAGTTCGAGCTCGGAAAGCTCGGCGCGAGTACCTTCGTCCTTAAA